GTGCTCGCAAATTATTTAACAGAGGGAAAAATAGTGTGTGCTTATTGAGCTTCAAAATTTTTGCATTCCATAGCAAACAGTATGTGTGTAACATTTGTTTTTTATAAAATAAAAAATCTAAAAATTTAAACAACTTCCAATTTAAAAAACATCCCATAATGTAAGTAAGTTGTCATTTAATAAGAATATGTCAATAACTCAATTTTGACAATAATGTCAGATAGAACCTTATAATTCTAAGGTGAAGAAATGTCTTATTGATGCATTCAGATAAAATTAACAGCAACTATAAATGTCATGGTTACATTTATAACACAGGAAATATAAACAACTAAACAATACAACATTGTGCTGTCAATCATGTGTGTACCAGTTTCAATTTATTATAGAGATTATACAGGCTCTAAAAGATTACGGCTTTAAAAAGCTGAATGTTTGGCATATGCCCATACAATTTACTGAAAAACGATCTTTATTTATATATTTATCTATATTTAACATTCTCAGATAACACATTTAAATATAAATATATATTATAATATACTATAAAGAATTTATTTGTGTAATTCTAGTTTTAATTGATTTAAGTTGAAATCATGTTTGATTAAAGATTAAGTTTTAGTTAGATCAAGTTTGGGAGATATTTTGAATATAAGCGACTGAAACATTATGGATTGGTATTCTCCACTGGAATGGACACATGTAGCCATCCGTCAGCTGTGTGTGACTGTGGGTGGCCTACACTGACCAAATTATTGTGACTTGTATTCAACTGACAGTAAATCCACATGATGAGCCTTTCCAGCACATCAACACAGATACACACAATCATATTTTATCATATTTACAAAACACATACTTCTAAAAATGTATGAAACTCATTTTAGATGTTTTTTTTTATTATTATTCAGTTAATAAATACAGTTGTATGCATATTATTATGTTATTAGACATGGTACTGTTGTGTATCTATAGTTCTTTATTCATAAGCCCAAAACACTTTAATAAACAAATAATGTGATCATGACCAGTGCTTTCTTGTTGATGTTAATCTTTTTAAGCAACCACCCCCCACCCCCCAAAAGACTCAAACTTTATTATGTTCTCTTTCTTTTTACAAATTTTCCTATGTAGTGTGTTGCGTGTACATTAATATAAAATAAAATAAATTATGTTAGTTTTGTTTTATTTCCAACAAGTTGTGCATATTATTCTGTGCTCCTGTGTCTCTTTTATTTATTAATTCATTCACTTATTTCCCTTGTTTCCTGTCAGTATCAACAAGCAGCTAAATGTATAAATAATCAAAAACACGCATTAGTAAATAAAATAAAATTGAATAGGTGAACAATGCCATAACACAAAATGCCTGAAATATGCTTGTTTTTCTGAATTTTATCAACTGGTGTTGATGAAAACTAATGCTGACCTGAAGAAGTGCGAAACAAGGAAAAAATTTGAGGCAAGTAATGCAAACATATGTTCTTACTTTTCAAAACCAGTAAAAAAAATAAAAAACTGAAGTCAAACTAAAAAAAAAACCTTTGGAAAAAGCCTCCTCTGTCGACATCAAGTAACAGCCACTTCTCAAAACTTCAATACTGTCAAAACTCACCTCACTAATACCACAATTTCATTTCATTAAATTAAAGTTTACCATTCTATGAAATATTTTTCCAACCCCTTGTTTTATCACATTTTCATGTATACAATATTAAATATATAACTTAAAATAGCTAAAACCTAATTACATATTTATTACATACCAAGCAATTGTGAGGAAGTAGCAAAATACAAATAACTTATTGTATCGTGAATAAAGGTTTGCATTTACAGGTGTTACTTTAACCTGAAGATCAATCGTAGCCATGTACCCAAAGCCAACGATATGTAAACATTTGTACACACCTCTCACCGAAATGCAAACAATTGCCATATAATCTCTACAATGTGTGGTTTCATTTAGGTCCTTAGGGAAAATTAGAGGATTAGTCAGCAAATGTAACCAATGCATGAAAAAGTCTCAGTAAAATCGCAGGTATCAGATAGCATTTGATGTATAACTTGTAAAACTCTTCACCCTAAAATATATTTATATTGTTCTCTTGGTTTTGTAGTTTAATAAACGAAATATTTGTAATATCTTTAATTTTCGATTTATATTCAACGTTTAATTTTACTGATAAAAAATAAACTTTTATTTGTCCGCTGCACTTGCTGCTTTAACATTATTATGATGTTATGAAGAATTAACCTTTGCATAAACAGAATTTTGAGTTAATATTTTATTTGCATTTCTTTAATCATAAATCAAGCAAACTACTGCTACTGTATAGAAGACAGAGCAGGTTCTCGACAAGTCACGCGCGACCCCAGTCACCAGGGAAAACACAAATCATCAAGTCATGCGTCACAGTAAGTTGTGCACCAATAAACAGACCTATCTCTAATAGATTCGTGCACGACAAAGGCTACTTACGTGTACGGAGGTCAGAGAAGGTGAAATACACCACCAAAAATAATAATGCCGCCAAGCCGGCTTTTGAAATAACGCACTTGTTACCCGACTTTCGTCATAATGGGTCATCATCAGCCTAAGTTCAGGAATTATCTACAGCATTAAAATTATTTTCGTTTCCAGTCGAGTACAATGTTTATTAACGGGTTGTTTTTATTTTTATTTAGGCAGTGGTGTATGTCATTTTTTGTTTATCTGTGACTTAAAACGGATACCTTAAAAAACTATGCCAATGTTTATTCCAATATACAGCCTATATATTTATAAATATGTTAGGCTATTTGTCCTTTAACTCTAAAAATCAAGGGCAGATTTAAATCGGCTGCAAATTTGTATTTATTTATTTATTTGTTCATTTATTTTGGTTTTATAAATGCATATATTTTATTATTTATTAAATGTTATTAAATGTATTGTTCATATTTGATTATTCAAATAATCAAAATGATTTTTGTCTATTCTTAGTATCTTAACAATGAGTAAACATTAGAAAAAAAAACAAAAAATGGGTTTCGAATCAAAACTATAGCTCTATACTTTTATAAAGACAGGCATTGTATGTATAGGTGATTTAGCCGTTCATTATTGTGTCAAATACAAGCCTCATCTCCAATTTTAAGCGGTCTTTGTTTTTAGAAAAGTACACATGAGTGTTATAGCAAGTGTGATTTATACTATGCACACCTCTGCGACTTGTGTTTTTTCTTATTATTAAATGCAATTAGTTATCTATTTCGCGCGGAATTTTAATGCATTCAGTTTTTTAATTACTGTGGGTGTCTTGTTTTTCTTCCACCGAACCGCACGCTGACACCACACGTCTGGGTTTAATTCTTACTATTCCCGCTTAACATGACATGTCTGAAAGAATGTAACTCATCTGGTCTTATGGTGCAAGCCGCGGAGCAGCCGCGCACTGCCGCCACCCTGCGCTTTCCAGAGAGGAAAAAACATCTTGCAATAATCAGTCCAATTAGTGGAGGTCGCGGCTGCGCGCTCTCCGGTTAGCTGTGGGAGGTTGTCAAAACAGGGGGCGGCTATTAGACGAAACGCGATCCCCATTCATCAGCATTGTAATAATCACCATGCAGACGAGCAGCGCAGGTCCTACGAAGCTCTGATCAAAATGATCCGTGGAAACAAGCCGTTTACAAACAGTGTCAAGGCGAGACGTACCTTGATTTGGCCTGTCACTGACATACCCCCACAATACAAAAGCATCCAAAATCCTTTTAGTGTTCGTTTCCATTGCTTCGCTGCATTGTTACAGCTTCATTACAGTGTCACAAGTGGAATATAGATAAAATAACTCACACGATCACACAATAAGCTGGCCTCTATGCTATAACGACTATAGATTATGTAAATGTACATAATTTGGGACAAGAACTTTTTATTTACTCTCAGCAACAAGCCGATATTGGTATATTGTGAATCAAAAAGAGCACTGAACAGCAAGTAAAGATATTCAAGCAACAGGTTTAATGTTTTCTCACAGCAAAGTGCAATTGATGCGACATCTAAATAACTATTTGAACCCTTTCCTTGATAAGTGCAAACAGCTCTACTTTTATTTATGTAATGTTCATTATTTATTTTGGATCAAAAACAGACATTTACACTGCGTAAATTCAAGATTTACACAAAAATATTTGGATATTTGTTGGATTTTACGATTATTTTGCTGCTATTTTATTTTATTGACTATTTTGTGTATAGTTATAATAATCTTGTTAAATTATTGAATTTGTGATGTCTTAATCATATCGCAAGATTGTATTGTCAAAATGTCTTAAAACATTAATTATTGATTAATTTATTAATTATTTTAGCATTTGTTCGTCAAAACTTATGGAAGTATTTAAAAAGTATATCTTTGGGCGACTATAATACGCGAAACAATTAATGAGATGGATGGGATGGGTTATTATCCTAACGATACATGCTTTGACGTGTTTTTGGATAGTTTGCTGTACAAGCTCTGAAGTTTCTTCACAAACAAGCCACATCACAGGCCTTCGCGGCACCACAGCAGTATACGGACATCTACAAAGCGCAACGACACACCAGACCTTATACTAAGCAATTTTCTCTCTCCCTTACATCGAGGCTGACATGCCTCAACAGCGTCAGCAGTTTTATTTCGTGTAAGATGTGATTTTGCTGAACTTTCTTGTGGCCTCAAGTATCATTCAGTTGTAAAAGGAGTCTACCTGGTGAAAATAACTTTGTTTCTAAGCCACTGTACACGTTGAGTTAAAGTTCATTCTAGAGACTGTGACTGATGATCTGCCAATAATGACGTGCTTAATGGCAGGTCATCATTCAAATATGCGCCTTTCTGAACTGTCGCTTACAAACACCTACAGTTTTACTTAATTGACTTGCAAGACAACAAATCAACCGAAGTAGCACATGTATGCGCAAACATAGATTTAGTGTCTAAACAGCATTTTCAATAATTTTCAATGAGTTGTCTTACCTGCTCAAACGTCCCTCGCAGTGTTTTCAGTGCCTTTGTGGTGTAATACTCAATCGCTGTTCAATCTAGCGTGTATCCTTGAAAACCGCTATATACTACCTAAAAACGCCCTCCAACCCCGTTCTACTCCAGTCCATAATGTCTGGCTTCCACGCGCGTGCACTTTGAGAAACATACCCCCTTGTTTGTCTTCAACAACTGTTAAATAATGCATAACACGGGACAACTGGTCCGATTAAACAGCCACTGAATTGAAAACAAATGTAAACAGGACAAAAAAGACTGAAAGTTTTTGCTTATAAAAATGTTTGTGTAAATCGTGACTTTCTTTAAATGAATTTCATTATGGTAATTCATAAGTGCTGCTTATTAATTAGTGAGACATAGTTTATGGATTCTGGGGGTTTTCCGAACTTTGAAACATAGTTTTGGTGTGATCGACAAGTTACAGAGAGAAAAGGTGTGCATATCCAGGGTGGATTGTCTGCTTATGGTCACTCAAACATTTGGTTTGGAGAGCGCCTGGTGCGCAGTCTTGCTCCGGTGCTCTCAGCTCAACTTCTGCTACCTCACAACCTCACAGATCAGCGCTCTTTGGTTGCTAGAAGTGTCTGTCAAACCCCGGGTAAAAAAATGTAATATACATGGAAAGTCGAGGCTATATTTCGATGTCGGTGGGCGGGCTCTAAATGAAGGGAATAATCAGTCAGCCAGCCCAAGGAGCCACCTCAAAGCATATCAGGTTACCTTGAATGACAGCGTAACCATGGCAAATAATTTGACTAAAACTATTGTCTTATCCTCATCATCCCCGGGTCAGATAACCAACCAATCACCGTTCACATAATCGCTTTTCTTGCCAGCTTAGAATAATATTATTAAAACAAGAGAGCGAGGTCCTTCTTCGGGAGTGCGTTATGCTGAAACGACATAGAAGAGGTGGCGAGAGACTCGCGCAGGAGGAACAACTTTCTCTCGTCTGCTATAGATGGATATACGGTGTGCATTATGCTTGTTTGAACGGATCTAAAGTTTTGTGCCTCTCTTCACCCGGTGGGATTTGATTCCATCTACTCAAGAAGTCTTTCTAAATGTTTGCCTCCCAAGGGTTACTTTAAATCTCTTTAAGGACAGTCCAAGTCATCGCTTAGATAGACATACAAGTACAAAGAGGGACGTTTATTTTTGAGACAAACCATGTCTATGCTTCCAACATTCGGCTTTACGCAAGAGCAAGTGGCGTGCGTCTGCGAGGTTCTTCAGCAGGGTGGAAACATTGAACGTCTCGGCCGCTTTTTGTGGTCTCTACCGGCTTGCGAACATCTCCACAAGAACGAGAGTGTGCTCAAAGCGAAGGCTGTGGTCGCATTTCATAGGGGGAATTTCAGAGAGCTTTATAAGATTCTCGAAAGCCACCAGTTCTCCCCGCACAACCATCCGAAGTTGCAGCAGCTGTGGCTCAAAGCGCATTATATCGAGGCTGAGAAGCTCCGGGGCCGCCCTCTTGGGGCTGTTGGGAAGTACCGCGTCCGAAGAAAGTTTCCGCTACCCCGCTCCATTTGGGACGGCGAGGAGACAAGTTACTGCTTTAAAGAAAAGAGCAGGAGCGTGCTGCGGGAATGGTATACCCATAACCCCTACCCTTCCCCGCGGGAGAAAAGGGAACTAGCTGAGGCAACTGGGCTAACAACGACACAAGTCAGTAACTGGTTTAAAAACAGACGACAACGCGACCGAGCAGCGGAGGCGAAGGAGAGGTACGGAATTTTAGTTTGTTGCTTTATTAGTGTTTAATATTATTAAGTGTCTAAAAGTAATTGGAACGCATTATATGCATATATTCGTGCCGTGCAATGTGACATCAAGTCAGTGGTGAGTGTGTAAAAAGTCCTAAAGTTCCCACAGATGGATGAGCACAGTCGGTACAAATGTCATCCGTTCTCTGTAATTGTTGATCGTTATTTTTGTAATAAATAGTTCTCCATGTCATTTGTAATATGCAATAAAAAGTAGGCTGCTGTTTGAGAAAAGCAGGCCCATGCTTACGGGAAAAGTCTTAAAGCCCGTGGTGTGTATTTTGGTGTAATCCAGTTTGAGGGAAAAATAATCCGCTTTTAATTAATGGTAATGTTCTTCGAATTGTAAAAAAGTATCTGAACATATTCTTGTTATGAATGTGTGCAGTTGCAAAGGCTACTCCTTAAACGTGTCTTGTTTCACCCGCAGGCGAGCTAGTCAAGTTGAAACCACAATGTAAACCATTAAACTAGCTCATACGTTTCCCGATACTTTATCCTTAATTAATACTTTATGAATGAACCTTTAATTGACACCTTGTGATTTAGAATTTAGATAAATCAGTTTGTGACGATGTTTTAACCGACATGATTTATTCCAAACCATATAAATAATTATGGCGTAGACGCAAGAAAAGTAAACTTTATCAGTTAATTTGTTTGTCTTTTATGTAAATTTAATACCGCCAAGAATTAGGATGTGTAATAAGACTAATGTCTGATGCAGAGAAAAAAAGGTGCACACTGTTATTATTGTTACATATATTTTTATGGAAATATTCTAAAGTTTAGTCTACGCGAAGTCGTTAGTGATGGTTTATTCCTATTGGCTTTTATTTATACTGTTTTAACATTTTAATAAAAAAATATTTCTCACCTAAATAACCCACTTTCATTAAGATAAAGGCTATTAATAGTTGTTTTAGATTTGTTTGAGAAAGCATGTTGCATAATTATAACTATTTGTGCAAATTAGCTATTAAGTATTATTATGTTGTTATTGTTGTTGTTGTTATTATTATTATTATTATTATTATTATTATTATTATTATTATTATTATTATTAGAAGAAGAAGAAGAAACAAGTGTCAAAACTAATTATATAATTCTATATTGCATCTTAGAGGTAACGTTTTACACCAAATGAAGTAAGTTTAAATCTGACATTTTTAAAAAGTTGTCGGATTTTCTCAAACCCTAACTTTACCTTTTCATTTTTACAGGGAGAATAATGAGAACTCGAACACAAACAGTCACAACCCATTAACGTCCTCCATGAATGGAAATAAGACTATTTTAGGAAGCTCGGACGACGACAAAACACCGTCTGGTACTCCTGATCACACCTCGTCGAGCCCGGCTTTGCTCCTCACGTCGAACTCCGGGCTTCAGTCCCTGCACGGCCTCGCACCTCCACCTGGTCCCAGCGCCATCCCAGTGCCTAGTGTTGATTCCGTGCATCACCACCATTCATTACACGACACTATACTGAACCCTATGTCATCAAACTTGGTCGACCTTGGCTCTTAAACGTGGACCCTTTCAAAAGGACGCTTGTACGTGAACGTTTAGCATAAATCATCGCGAGATGCGTATAAACACAAACAAATGAGACAAGGAATGGACAAAGAAAGTTGGGGATGTTTGTCGGCTGACCTACTTGCAAAGCTGATATGGAGGGCCTTGATAGAGGTATTTTTCTGGAATGTAATGTCCTCGAGGTGTTTAAAAAAACTAATAAACGTCTTAATTGTTGATATAAACATTATTTGATATCGTTATTATTTTAGATTGCAATTGACCCAGGACTCCTCAGTCGCATACTCCTATTATTTACATTTATCCTTTTAAAAAGGCAGCATCGTTTATTTTTATTGGGATTTCATTTTAATACCAAAACAGCATTTTTAACGACTATGGGCATCTCTTCATTTTTATTTGTATTTTACTTTTGGAAAGCGACTGCATGTAACCTTTGGGATCAATAAACAGTAAATGCATTTACTGAGCAAAACAAAAAGGTTTGAATGTTTTTTTGTTGTTGTTGTGCATGCTGTGCATTGCTTTTTTGAGCAGGTGTCCTGATGTAACATTGTTGGGTCCCTGTTTACAATAATGACATTTATCTGGTCGCGTGATGATACCCAGTCAAAATCATTTAAAATAATTTCAAATTGTGCTTTTGAAATTTGCATTTATTTCAGTTAGGTTTTGAATTCATAGCGGTCATAAATATTAAGTTTAAAATAAACTATAACTTTCTGCACTAAAAACATCCACCAACAATATTTATTAATCTTATCTAAATGCTTATATTGTTTTACCCACTTTTTATTTCGATATTTAAACTTAACAGCACAATGTGTCAACATGCAAAGCTAGCTGATGTTTTGTTTTAGTTTTCATGATTAAAACTATATTCTAGTGCTTGTTATCGAGCACATTAGGCCTACTGTATGCTTTTTCTCAGCACGGTGGAGGAATTTCTTTCTCTTTGCTAACGACTCAATTGTGAGATAAACAGATTACTCTATTGTATGCATTATTAAAACCCTGTCATTGAGATAAAATAATAACGATTATTTTAATAGGCTACTTTCCTTTGTCAAGTCATACATTTGATAGAATGTTTTATTATTGCTAATATTATTATGTTAGTTTATTTATGGACGGACTTTAAAAAGCCTTTGATAAACTTTATTTTACCACTGCATAACAATAACTGCTCAACTTTTCAGTAAAAGATACTGCCTATATACACCCTCCAACCCCAGCCAACCCTTATTTCAGGTCATGCAATATACCTAACGGTTTTCGATCAATCACACTTCTCCAAAAGACGTTAATGGGATGTTTCCTCTAGGCCACATTTCTCTGTTTAGAGTATTTACAATTTCTTTCAGGGCTATGATTTTATTTTCGCGAATATATAGACTGTTTACAGTATTTTATCTGGAACTAAATTGGTTGTATACACGCGGAGTCAGATTAGTTTTCAAGTCCCGAGTTCAGACGCATTTTTTTTTCAAACAAGGTGGTAGCAATTATTTTGAGTAAGCCCATGAACCAACGTGACATTAAGTGTGTTGCAACAGTATTCTCAAAAACAAGTTTTGAATCCGCAGTGAATTGGGTACAATAGGCTTATTCTGTCCATAACTCAACAAGTGTCTATATTGCTGTGTCTACATATGCTTTAAGAGAGGCAGACAGGTTGTAAAAAATTCGGGCATACGATGTAAAGAAAAGGAATAGCTCTCAAAGTAGAGAGGCTAATACGCTATAAATGCAATCTTATACGCTGAGTTAATGCTGGAAAGCTGGTTTATGGGAGACGTTTAACGGCCTTGCAATTTTGTGTTAGTTGCATTCCATCAACAGCCTCTCTTGTTGTTGCTATCCCTTTCATTTTAAAACTGTTTGCTTCCAAATGCAAATGTATTACAGTTTGCAGCTTGAATTTTCACAGAATTATGCGTTTATTTGTATTATTTGTTTTTATTATTTTTGTTCTGTTAAAATACTAGTGTCGAGGCGAAGGAAACATGGATGGGTTAAAAATGAAATAGGCGCTGGTGGCACTTGTTTTTCTAGACAATAACTGTACATTTACATATTCTTTTTAATATATAAAACCTTTGTTTAGAGTTTACAATTATTTAAGTACAGTTCGATTGAAAACTTGCACTACCGACCTTAAGCAAGACTTTATTATTATTATTATTATTATTATTATTATTATTATTTCGGCCAACAATTTTATACTTCAGATGGATTGTGCGAGTCTACATTTACGAATCCTGTGTTTTAAAACTTATTAACTAACATAGAAGTAATCAACAATGGCAGATCAAAATTGTAAAATCGTGTATTATAATCGAAACAACGTAGTTCAGCGTTATATATTTGTTCTTTGGGTC